ACAACAGACCTTAAGTACCTACAGTAGAATTAACATAGTTCCTATAGTAAGCTGTATGTACCTACAGCAGACCTAAATAGTAAACTGTATGTACCTACAGCAGACCTAAAGTACCTACAGTAGAATTAACATGGTACCTATAGTAAGCTGTATGTACCTACAGCAAACCTAAAGTACCTACAGTAGAATTAAGAATTCACAGAAAATATAAATGTATCTATACCTATAGTTGTATTTAATTAGGGAATGAATATTTTGTTATTTGTTTTAAGAATCTGTAGCATGAGTGGAAATATGAAAAATATTCAACCCAAAAGTTGTCAAGAAATAGAAAAATATTTGATCTTTTTCAATTTTCTTTGTAACAAAATAGTGTCTGTCCACACTGTGAATCCATTTCCCTCCAAAAAATTTCAGACAACACACCATGACAAAAAAAAAGTGTCTGAGCATCACTGACATCACAATTGTTGATACCTATAGTTATTTTTACACTAATCCCTACTGTCTGGTCAGAGAAGCATGAAAATACTTATCAAAAATGTGTTATGTGTCACATAAGAAAAACACAAACTTGAATTTCCCTTTAAACCTTATAACATTTAACTGGTATATTTTCACAGTAAAACCTTATAACATTTAACTGGTATATTTTCAAGGTAAAACCTTATATTTAACCAGTAACACACGTAACTTCAACTTCTACTTTTGAAAGTTATTTGGTTGACAGACCCAAGTTCATACCATTAAATAGAAAAATAAACACGGGAAAATAACTAATAACATGACCATAATTACTACTTATACAACACTTTAAATTATGCAATAGAAATTTAACAGTATTTGCCCTCAAAGGGGAGAGCTTCCCCCATAGTAGGACAATGCAATCAGAATGGTACTCCCAGAGTTGTTCTCCTAGAGTGGTACTCCTAGAGGGGTACTCCCAGAGTTGTACTCCTAGAGTGGTACTCCAAGAGTGGTATTCCCAGAATTGTACTCCCAGAGTTGTACTCCTAGAGTGGTAATCCAAGAGTGGTACTCCCAGAGTTGTACTCCCAGAGTAGAACTCCCAGAGTGGTACTCCCAGAGTTGTACTCCTAGAGTGGTACTCCAAGAGTGGTATTCCCAGAATTGTACTCCCAGAGTGGTACTCCAAGAGTGGTATTCCCAGAGTTGTACTCCCAAAGTGGTACTCCCTAGTTGTACTCCTAGAGTTGTACTCCCAGAGTGGTACTCCTAGACTGGTACTCCAAGAGTGGTATTCCCAGAGTTGTACTCCCAGAGTTGACTACCAGAGTGGTACTCCCAGAGTTGTACTCTGGGTACTCCTAGAGTGGTACTCCCAGAGTGGTACTCCCAGAGTGGTACTCCCAGAGTTGTACTCCCAGAGTGGTACTCCCAGAGTGGTACTCCCAGAGTTGTACTCCCATAGTGGTACTCCCTAGTTGTACTCCTAGTGTTGTACTCCCAGAGTGGTACTCCCAGAGTGGTACTCCTAGAGTGGTACTACCAGAGTGGTACACCTAGAGTGGTACTACCAGAGTTGTACTCCCAGAGTGGTACTCCCAGAGTGGTACTCCAAGAGTGGTACTCCCTAGTTGTACTGCCAGAGTGGTATTCCCAGAGTTTTACTCCCAGAGTTGACTACCAGAGTGGTACTCCCAGAGTTGTACTCTGGGTACTCCTAGAGTGGTACTCCCAGAGTGGTACTCCCGGAGTGGTACTCCCAGAGTAGAACTCCCAGAGTGGTACTCCCAGAGTTGTACTCCCAGAGTGGTACTCCCAGAGTGGTACTCCCAGAGTTGTACTCCCAGAGTGGTACTCCCAGATTGATACTCCCAGAGTTGTACTCCCAGAGTGGTACTCCCTAGTTGTACTCCTAGAGTTGTACTCCCAGAGTGGTACTCCCAGAGTGGTACTCCCAGAGTGGTTCTCCTAGAGTGGTACTACCAGAGTGGTACTCCTAGAGTGGTACTACCAGAGTTGTACTCCTAGAGTGGTACTCCCAGAGTGGTACTCCAAGAGTGGTACTCCCTAGTTGTACTGCCAGAGTGGTACTCCCAGAGTTTTACTCCTAGAGTGGTACTCCAAGAGTGGTATTCCCAGAGTTGTACTCCCAGAGTTGTACTACCAGAGTGGTACTACCAGAGTTGTACTCTGGGTACTCCTAGAGATGTACTCCCAGAGTGGTACTCCGAGTGGTACTCCCAGAGTGGTACTCCCAGAGTAGAACTCCCAGAGTGGTACTCCTAGAGTGGTACTCCGAGTGGTACTCCAATAGTGGTACTCCCAGAGTGGTACTCCTAGAGTGGTACTCCCAGAGTTGTACTCCCAGAGTGGTACTCCCAGAGTGGTCCATTGCCTTCAAATAGGAGCTCTTCGCTAAATCTGCCCATTTTAATTCGAACTTAAGTTTGAAATCGTTTTTTTCAAAATTACATCTGTATTTCTTTCTTGGCAAACCAAAATTTAACACTTTCTCAGGACCAAAAGAAAACCATTCTAACCAATTTCAGTTAAATCAGCCGATTAGTGTTTAAAATGGTGGTCAAGGTGGCCACGTTGGATTTAAGAAGTCCCTGAAAATAACAGCACCTTAGTGTCAAGAACCTTTGAATCATTCTTAACAAGTCTCAGTTAAATTTGCTCATCAGAAATTGTGTTCAAGGTTGAAATAGCTTAAAAATGGAGGTTGTTGTGTGAAATTATTGGATTGCCAATTGGCCTGAAACATGTTCTCAGTAAAATGTCAGTACCCTTTAGTAGTATTTCAGTCCAAGTTAAGCATGACGGACAATGACGGCAATAGGTCAATTGAGCGTTTGGCTCGGATGTCCTAAACAAACAGTCTAGGTAACAAAACTGTAGTTAGTCCAAATTACAGACAAGGCCGTACATTTTGTCCAGAACATAAGTTGCATTCTAATAAAATATGAAAATATAATATGAGAAACTTTTGTTTACAAAACAGTCATAAATAAAAAAACAAGACAATAGCCCTACAGTGGAGAATGGAGCCGGCCCAGGATTTACTTAAAAATAACCATATGTTTCATATAAATTCTATATATATTGTACCTCTAACATGACACAACATCTGTCATTTTGCCATTTTGATATTACGAAGCAATACATTTTAAAGAAATATCTTGCTATTATTTATAAAAAAATGTCTTGCTATAATAGCCTTCAGATATACTTCTGACACGTACCTATAGCTACAACAGAGTTCTACAACACAAACCACACGCTTCTACAATACTATCAAAGGATGACAACAAAAACTCTAACATTTCCTTAAACAGAAGATTTCATCCTTGATGTAGAAATAATTTCAGACCAAATCTCGGCTTACGAGGAAAAAATATTCAGATGATAAATGTAGAGCTAGATAAGATGAAGATTGCACATCAACTTAACAGACCAATCCCATCACCTATAGTGCTTGCGATCTTTGAGACATCATGTTTTGATAGATTGAGCATGTGTATAGTCATGCGGTGTATTGTAAGCAACACATGCACAAGTTTTGATGTAAAGCATAAGTTAGATGGCGTCAACACTGGGTAATGGAAACTTCAAGTCAAATATTTGATTTAACCTCTCTTGAAAGATAAAAACATAGCAAGTGGTGGCTGATATAGATATACCTTATATCCCCCCCACCCCCTACAAATGGAAATTAATCAGGCACAGAACTTGATATGTTTATTGTTCATACTGAAATCGTTTTCATGTTCAAAATGTCTATCATGAAATATTATACAAATTTGGATGGCAGAAAATAAATGTTCCCAGCATAGCGAATTTAATCATATCAATACACCAGTTTTGAAAGAGTTGGCAGAGAGAGAGAGATTTAACTGATCATATTTATTAATTTCAGTTAAGAAATCTCTCATATCATACCAAACTCAAAAATAGGTAAAACAGAAGATATTCCTTTGCAATACCTGGAACCCTAAGCATGTTTCACAGTACAACTGTTTTTATTGTAATTCCAAGGAAACCCTATAATTACAAGTATTTGATTGTGGTATTGTTTTGGACAAGAACATTACGAAATAGAACGAAAATTGGAAGAATTTTAAATAATATCAACTTCTAAACATGACCAATATATGTAATAAGGGAAATAAGTCAAGCGTCCTTGTAATTCCTTTGATTAGTATATATACAGACCTAGTTGTAACATGAACATAGGAACAAAAACCTTTCCACTGATATTTTTTCTGTCAAAACTTCTAAAATAAAACTTATAATCAATCTTCAGGATGTAGATGGGACGGATATATTTCATGAATTGTTGCAGGGATATCATGAAAATGAACTTCTGTCAATTCTCTAAAATCCTTAAACAGTCAAAACATACAAGCTTCATCAATATCATAAAACAATATATCATCCAACTACATTTTTTTTAAGATTTTATAAAGAGACATTTAATATCCAAATATCAAACACTATACATGATACGCCAGTAGTCTGTATATAATATATCACACATTCAGAAAAGCTGATATAGAGAGTCCAGGAAATCATCAAAATAACTTACTCTGTTTCAAGCATAAAACTGATGACTTATATTTAATTTATCTATAAAACATAATTGTACATCAGTATTTAACATAAAAAATGTTCGACAACATCAAAGCATTTGACCAAATCATTCACACATTCCATAAACCCTCCAAGCAATGACACACACACATTTGATAAAAGTGCCTCTGTTTCCAATTCATTGAAGATACAAACTTATACACATTATTACAGTAAACATGTTTGTCACCAGACCAGTCATTGCTTTACACAGAAGTGTATGGTACCTGGCTTATGGTCAGGGCCATATGTCCAGAGTTTAAAAAGCAATATTGAATCTCATTAAATTACAATGTATACATAAACCAATGAAACCACTCTTACCTTTATAATGAAAAAATGAAAAAAATAGATAATTGGTTACTTAAAATAATTACCAATTAAGGAATTAAAATTAAACTTTATTTTTTACATTTTACATAGAACTTGCACAGACTCTTTTTGATTTTTTTTTTTTTAATTTAAAATTACAAAACTAAAGAAGTAAATTTCCAATGACTAGAGCTGAAGTATTTGCAATGCAGCTACAAAATATGTGATATAATGTGAGAGAAAAAACTAATTGCCGTTTATTTTTTTCTTCCATTTTTGGGGGAAAAATACTCTTTCATCTCCTTTCAAAAGTTTTAAAATCATACATGAACAAATACTAATTTGTTTAAGATTTTGACAAATTACACTTCTTAAAACATCCTTTGAATTTTGTGAATAAGTTTAAATAAAACATCATAATAATAAACAATTTAATTTCACAACCATTGGTTGCAAATGTTAGAGGCATGATAACATGCTCTACTGCGACAAGGACATGTTAAACAATAAATCATAACAGCTTTGCACAGACAATAAGGCATCCCAAGCAACAGTTTAACAATGGCCTCATAGGCCTGTATCACTCACCAGCAGGTAAACTAATGTAGAAGAGTGTAAGTAACAAAGCTATGTAACATCATTGCAGTTAAAAAAGATCATTAACCAAGACAAGTAACCATTACATATGTTGACATAACTGTGGGTATCAATGAGCATATTAAAAAGAAACATTGTAAACTTGTCAAAGTTTCATCCTCTGGTCATTTGAAAAAGAAAAATGCTCAATGCTTCTTTATTCTTGTTAATCCTATATTTTGTTTTCACAGTCAAGTCTGAAGTAAATGAAGTGTCATTCTACTACATAGAGAGGTTTTGAGTATCTAGTGTACCCCAGTGTCATTCTACTTCATAGAGAGGTTTTGAGTATCTAGTGTACCCAAGTGTCATTCTACTACTTAGAGAGGTTTTGAGTATCTAGTGTACCCAGTGTCATTCTACTTTATAGAGAGGTTTTGAGTATCTAGTGTACCCCAGTGTCATTCTACTATATATAGAGGTTTTGAGTATTTAGTGTACCCCAGTGTCATTCTACTACATAGAGAGGTTTTGAGTATCTGGTGTACCCCAGTGTCATTCTACTATATAGAGAGGTTTTGAGTATCTAGTGTACCCAGTGTCATTCTACTACATAGAGAGGTTTTGAGTATCTAGTGTACCCCAGTGTCATGCAATAAAATATTCACACAGCTTGTCTTGGGTATTCATATCATGTGACCAGCACATCCTGGGTATTGATGATAAATAGTTGCCTTTGATTCTCACACAGAACAAACAAATAGCACAAGATATTTCATCACATATACACACAAACTCAGACAGTCCATCATCTACCTCAGTATATCGCTGACAAACACTCCACCTTGACATAAGCACCGGGTAGCCATTGTATTTTGCTACCCTGGAATATCTGAACCCTGGCTGGAGTCCAGCCACAGACAGGAACTTCAGTTTGACAACCAATGACTTCCATAGACACCGCTTCCATACAACCTTTAGTAGTCCAGCTGTACACTGTACATAGGAGAATGGTACTATGAAGGACTACCTGGCTCAATTTGAGTGTATCTCTTCCTTGGAGCTCTGGTTTTACCAACCAAAACAAATGTTCATATCTCACCCTCGGAATGGGCTTCTACTACATAGGTAGGTGTCATTAACACCTTCAGCTCTAATTTATCTTGTTCTTCAGTTGTTTATTATAGGTCAATAACAATTTTTAAATGAGTTACACCCTATGGTTGCCTGCACAATTGTCACAGCACTTCAGGTGCCAGCACTCAAGGGGAGATCACTCTTAACATACCAGCCCAGCACAGGCTTATCTCTCTAGTGCTTTCACCTCTTCACAGGTTCATCAGATGATCTGAAAAGGGGAGAGCACTTGGGAGTTGCTCAGAATGTCTTTGTTTTTCCAGAAGAATATCACATAAATATTGCTGCACATGTTACCATTCACAAGAGATCCTCGACCTACTATATATGGGCTTTACACACCTACAGGTCCTTCAGATGAAATACACAAATGCACTTTGGAAATAAATCAATGCATACAGGATCAGCAAACATCCTGAGACTAGGAGCTGACTTCTTCCTTTATCTTGCGTTCCATGGCTTGTTCAAGGCTGAGAGAGTTAGCCCCCCTGCTAGCCCCCAGGACTGCAGATGAAGGGGGTCCTTGTGTAAGGTTAAGAGGCTGACCATCTGGACTGAATCTGGAGTAGGATAAACGAAACATCATTATTTTATGTCGATAGTCACAAATGGATTTACACATGAAATGACCACAACATTACAGATAAACTAGGTAAAAACAAACTCGACCTTCCAATATTCTCCTGTTATTTCAAAAGTTGTTTTATGTTGCTTCATTACTTGCATTCTATGTATTTCAACTTCTCAGTAAAGCAACCTGATCTACCAAACCATTGTTTCTGGTCATTAATCACTTCAATATAACAAGGTACAATTGTGAGGAAAGACAAGAGGCCCAATGGGCCTGCATTGCTCACCTGGTATTGATCTCACAATTGTAACCTTAATAGTGGACTAAAATAAAGCTACAGGCAAATATCAGTGTCTTGACTTCAAGTCATTCAGAAGAACCTGTTAAACGATAAAAACATATTTGACGCCTGTGACCTTAAAAAGTCAAACATGGACATTAAGTTGAACAAACTTCATAGCCCTTCTTCCCAGAATGCAACTTGCCAAATATCACGGGTTTTTTTCACCACCTTGAACCTTTTGTTTATTCAGAAGAAGTTGTTTAAATTAAATAGTTTACGTTGGCCGGACGATAATACCTCTAGTTATACAGGAGAATCTTTCAAAACCTTTACCTCTATTTCCCTTATTGGGTCCTGCCCCTCTGCCCCAAGGAGGACCACACCCTAACTTGATTCTCCTTTGCCCAAAGATGCTCTAGAACAAGCTTGGTTAAAATCCCTTCATTGGTACAACAGAAAACTTGTTTCCACTATTTTCCCTATAGGGACCCGCCTCTCTGCCCCCAGGGGGGCCACACCCTCCATTTATACAAATCTGGTCTGATTATATGAAGTTGAGTTCCCTTTGTCAGAGGATACTCTAGAACAACTTTATTCAAAAAAAATACTTTTGTAAGGAAAGAAAAGGTTTTCAAAGAAATACCTTTATTTCCCCTAGTGGGCTTTGCCCTCTTGGGAGCAACACCCTCTGTTTGTAATAAATTGAGTCCCCTTTGTCCAAAGATGCTCTAGAACAAATTTGGTCAATATCCCTCCATCGGTTTAGAAGGAGATGAATTTTGAAGATTTACTGTCTTTCTCTTATTTGGCCCGCCCCTCTGCATGGGGGTCATATCTTCTGCTTATACAAAATTGAGAACCTTTTGGCAAAGGAAGCTGCAGACCAAATTTGGTCAAAATCCACAGCCGTAAAGGACTAGTAGCATTTTAAAGGGTATAAGCTCCCTTCTGGCCAGGTGAGCTAAAAATGGAACATTCCTTATTCTTATTCCATGGATTATAAAATAAATTTTCTTCAAATCTAGCAAACCATTCTTGAGAAGTCATGAAAACTGCAAAGATTAAGACATATACTTAAAACTTTCGTCGCGTTTGACACCTGTGACCTTAAAAGGAAGTCAATAATAATAGAAAAATCTATAGACTGGTCGAATACCATTAACCTAAGCCTTCTGGATCTTAGAAAAATTGTCCATTAAACTGATCTGACCCAAACATGAGGAAAGAAAACTATGCCTGGCTTATAAGATGAAGTTAAGATAGCATACCTGACTTGTGGGCCCTGCCCATAAAACTGAGCCAGCTGCTGCATGCCTGCCAGGTGCTGGTTGTATCCAGGCATCATAGAGTGCATGGAGGAGTAGGCTGCCCCAATGAAGGCGGGGTGCATGGCACTGGGATACATTGCTTGGCCTAACATTCCTGTACTGGGGGCCTGCCCCTGGGAATTGATCGGTATGTGCCCCTGGAAGCCTGGCATGGACTTGTTCAGGTGAGATTCTGTTGTGGATGGATTATGGTTGATTTCGGCATTGCTGTCAATGTCTGAGGGTTGTCCCGGGTTTTGACCTATCTTGTGGAGATTTTCCATACTGTCATATTTCCTCATAAGTTTGTCCTTCAGGTGAAACATAGTCGTGGCATGTAGTTGTTCCTTTTGGTTACCTCTACCAGACATCTCTGAAGGAGTACCTGTATCAGGAGATCGTGATAGCGCAGCTGCCAGACCATTGTTGTTGAGATATGCCCCGGAAGGTAGAGCAGCTAGACCCTGTGATCCCAGTTGTAGGGGCACAGGGGCTAGCCCCGCCCTGTTGGGGGACTGTAGATGGGCCAAAAGCTGCGGATGTGCTTCTCCTGCAGAGAGCTTTGGCTTCTGGAGTTTTGGGGATTTTGGAAGGTCCAATTTAGGTGGGTTCTCAATGACAGTGACTTGTGGACCATCAGCGGCCTGTTCTGCTCCGTCCTCTGTAGCCTGGATCATGTGTTTCCGCATCTTGTCAAACTTCTTGTGGAACATCTGAATTATAACCAATAATATTAACTGAACATTTCTTAAATGTTGTACAGTAGGAATGTATGCTTGCTAGCATGGAGGTGCTTTTTATCCAACTTTGATTTATCTATATGTGATTATTATAAGGAAATTCACGGAATGATTGTCCTCAGTTTTGTCCCCCAAATCAGTATCAACATTTACAGACTTGTCAATGGAATCTGAATGAGGACGTGACTTAATCATCATCACATACTAAGTGAATTGAATTTTAAGGTTTGGAAATATTTAGATATACCAATTTTTTCTGCAATTATGTATCTAAATGTGTTCAAATTTTAATGTTAGACTCTTCAGAGTATTTACAATTTGCATTTTGATGTTTTTAATGATTTATATATTTTGATAATTACAAAAGGTCTAACAAGGTCATTAAGTTAAACAAACTTTTTAGCACTTCATCTCAGCATGCTTGCTAAATATCACCTCCCTAGACCTTTTTTTTTATAGCGATGAGGTCATTTTAGCGTTTATACACATTTGACCATATATATATGTGATCTTAAAAACAGGTTACAGTAATTCACATGAACAAAGTTGACAGCTCTTCATCTAAGCATGCTGCCAAATATAACCACCCTATGCATTTTGGTTTTTCAGGAAGTTGTTTCAATATTTTCAACACATTTGACCCCTGTGACCTTGAATATGAGTGAAGATCATTCATTTGGACAAATGCAGCTCCTTATCTGAGAATGTAAACATGAGATCCCTTGGACCTTGAATTATCATTTGAACGAACTAGGTAGCTCTTTAACTGAGCACGTTACTGACCAAATATTATCACCCTAGACCTTTTAATTATTTAGGAGAAGTTGCTGAAATATTTCAACAGGTGAATATGTGACCTTTATTATGAGTGAGAGTCAATCATTTAAACCAACATGACAGACTTCCAACAAGTCAGCCAAAGCACCCTGGTTCATTTGGTTACTCAACTTAAGTTGTTTAAAAGGTTTTCTTATAAGACAATTAACAAGGTTTTCTTATAAGACAATTGACCTGTGACCTTTAATATGAGTGAAGGTTATTCATTTGAACAAACTTGATAGCTGTTTATTACAACATTCTACTGGCCAAATATCATCACCCTGAGACTTTTAGTTATTCAGAAGATGTTTAAAGTAAAAGATGGACGGACGACAGACACCGCGCAAGGTAAGCTTAAAATGAGATTTTTACTATATGGGGAAAATTTTAATGCATCCAGGATCGATGTTGATCCTTCTGTACAGGTTATTATTCTAACAGTAGCTTCATTTAAAGGAAAATGAATGTTTTGTACCTCAATTGGTGGGTTCTCATCTCCCAACTGATCAACTGACATGGGTGACATAGGCTCCTCAACATTATCCTTGAGTTTAGCATCATCCAGGCAGAGCTCAGATTGTTGGGACGACATGGCAGCGGGGTTAGGCCACTGTTGCGGTGTACATGGGACAGGGATACGGATTGATGAAACACTGTCAAATGCACTGTTATCATCACCCATGTGTATAGCCTTTATGAACAAAAAACAAAACTTATCCAACAAGTGATAATAATTCTATGACAAATATTAGTGGTTTCATTTACATGTATAAATTATGTCGGGTCAGCCAAACATTTGTCTTACTTACCACTGAAGAAGATGTCAGACCAGCTGTCAAGTTATCTCCCTTACCACTACTGAAGAAGATGTCAGACCAGCTGACAAGTTATCTCCCTTACCACTGTAGAGGATGTCAGACCAGCTGTCAAATTATCTCCCTTACCACTGTAGAAGATGTCAGACAAGCTGTCAAGTTATCTCCATTACCACTGTAGATGATGTCAGACCAGCTGTCAAGTTATCTCCCTTACCACTGTAGAAGATGTCAGACCAGCTGTCAAATTATCTCCCTTACCACTGTAGAGGATGTCAGATTAGCTGACATGTTATCTCCCTTACCACTGTAGAGGATGTCAGACCAGCTGACAAGTTATCTCCCTTACCTGTGTAGGGGATGTCAGACCAGCAGTCAAGTTATCTCCCTTACCTGTGTAGGAGATGTCAGATCAGCTGTCAAATTACCTCCCTTACCTGTGTAGAGGATGTTAGATAGGCTGTCAAGTTATCTCCCTTACCCATGTAGAAGATGTCAGATTAGCTGTCAAGTTATCTTCCTTACCTGTGTAGAGGATGTCAGATCAGCCATCAAGTGACGTTGCTCGGTATTCTTTTTAATTGAATCAGAGAGTCTTGACAAGTAAGCAGGGTGGCGGTCAACCAATAGAGATTTCTTTCGTGCATGGAGATTGTAGGAAGCCCCAACACTGCCTCGCCTCATATCTGGCATCAGTGTGTTGTTGAAGTCCTCAGACGTGAGCCTCTCCTGCTCCAGCTGGTAATTAATAGGTATCTGTTGCTGTTGTGTGTTACCGCGTGATGCTCTACCCTCACTATTCATGTGGAAACTGTAGCACCGTCTACGATTGCCAAAGTCGTCTGCACCCATCGAACCTGAACGGGATCGAGGGTTTGGAGAACTTGGTGAAGAACCATAAGGAAGTAATGTGTCACGGTTCATGACCGTGTCTCGAGACATCAACATGTCACGATTCATCTGTGGACTTGCTCGAGAGCTACACGCACTAGAATCAGCAGGAGTAGATATTGGTATGAACTCGTGGTTACGGTTAAGATAATGTTGGTACTCCTCCGGTATGGGGCTACTGGCTGCACTGTTACAGATGGACGGTGGCATGCTGTCCCCATGTATAGCAGCCCGTTTCTCTAGCTTATCACTCAGTTTGTTCACCATTTTATTTATATAGTCTCTGTCTAATGTATTTCTACGCCTACTACCCTCCTCGATGGTGTGTAATCGGGGCCTTGACACAGTTTCTCGATCGAGTGTGTGACAGCGACGTCTTGGAGGGTCAGGAACAAGGCCATAGAAACTCTCCTCACGGTAAAATGTGCCGTATGGTGTTTTGAGCACAACCTGCTGCTGATGTCCCTGCATGTCCATAGGAACACGATGAGGCAAGACCGGGGCACCACTCCCCTCCACCGACGAATCATAACCCGCAGCACTGAAGGACGTCTCTGTAGGAGATGAGCCCTCAGATCTACACAGCAAATAATGATCAGTATTATTCAATAACTACTTAATTAGAACTGGACTACACAGAGGAGTCTTCATTGTAACACAAATAAAACAAGAGGCCCAGTGGGCCTGAATCACTCACTGGTATATTCAAGCAAGTATGGCAAAATATTCACATTCAATATTATATGCATCCCTCTGTTCCCATTTTTACACATTTCTATCCTTTCTGGCAGAGAATATTCTTTATCAAATTTGTTTTAGATCCCTTCTTCTGTATTGAATGAAAAGGATTGTAAGATATTAATCAAATTAAAGGGGACCACAGCCTCCATTTATTGGGCCAAGTGAGCTAAACATTGAGTCCTTCTTAGCAGTAAATAGCTCTAGTCCTTATGTGGTTATAATCCCTTCCTTCCTACAGAAGGACAATATAAAGATTTACCTCGATTTTATCCTATTGGGCCCTGTTCCTCTACCGTGGGGAAATCACACACCCCAGTTAAATAAAATTGAGTTCATGTTGCTCAAGGATTCTCTTATCGAAATTTGGTTAAGATCTATACATTCCTGAATTCCAAATTTGGTCTAAATTCCTCCATTCCTATTGAAGATGAAAGATTCTAAACATTTATCACTATGTTCCCCCTATTGCGGGTCTCTGCCCCTTTGCTCTAAACACTCTTTATTTTTACATCCTTTGCCCAAGGATGCTACTCACCTTTGGTTAAAATCCTTCCAATCATACAAGAAGGAGAATGATTTTAAACATTTACCTAAATTTCCCCTTTGGGCCTCACACCTCTGCCTCCAGGGAGACCACACCACTCATTAGAGTTCAAAATTGAGTTCCTTTGCAGAAGGATGCCCTACACAAAATTTAGTTATTTTTTCTGTTCAAATGGGAAGAGTATTTTAAACATATATTACTGTATGCCCTATTTGGCCAACCCCCTTTCCCCCAGGGGGACCACATTCTCTGCTTATACAAAATTGAGTACCACTTTCCCAAGGATTCTCTGGACCATATATGGTTAAGTCCCACCATTTTTAATGATGCAGAAGTATCTTGAACATTTATTACTATGTTCCCCCTAATTGGCTCCGTCCCTCTTTCCCATCTGGTCAAAATCTACCAAATTGTACAGAAAGAGAAGGATTTTAAAGATTCCCATTTTGGGCCCTACATATATCCAGCAAGAGGCCACAGAGCTTGTATCACCACCCAGATAATTAGTAAAGCAATCATGGTAATAAACTGTCATCAATCATTATCTCAAATGACCTAACAATCTGCAGGCTATTGTTAAATTCTTCATCTTACTGCATGTTACTACCATAACAAAGTACACCCTTACCTGGAGTCAATGGCTTCCTGTAAGTTGGCTTTTAAGTCTATGTGGTCATTCTCTGACCCTTCAACACCCTGGCATGCTTGACCTAGACAAATGGCAATTTATTTTCTTTAAAATAAGTGTTAATTAAACTGTTACCAGAGTTTCCCAGACAAGTAGGTGGGCAATGGCAGTATATTCCTCGAAACAAGAGGGTAGGTCAGTTATTTTCATAAATTTGTAATTCTTCCTATCACCAAGCTACTGACCAAATTGCATTACTCTAGGTCACTTTGGTTATTCAGAAAAGGACATATGTGTATTTGAATGAATTTGACCCCTGTGACCTTGTCAAGGTCATTTCTGCTTCTTTTGTTTTCTTCAAAACATTGTAGTACTCTATTCCAACAAACTATTAGGCAAACACAATGGTTTGGTTATTCATAAGAAGTTGTCTAAGTTCTTAAACAAATTTGACCACCATGACCTTGAATTTGAAGGAAGGGGAATACCTACCTAGTGACTTCTCTGAGTGGAGAGTATTAAGAGTGCGCAGATCTGTGGTCTTCATAAGAAGTTTGGCAAACAGTGTGTTGTCATGCATGTGGTTGGTGTTGATGATAGTCTGTAGGCTCTCTGTCAATTTGGTCTGTACCTTCTCTATCTGCTCCAGGTTACGCAAGCCTGGACGGTCTGAAGTGTACAAACAAGAGGCCCATGGGCCTTAACGATCCGAGTCCTACAGTTTTAATTTTTGTTGTTGAAATATGAAGTGGAGATAATGATGTCAATCATCCCTACCAAAATTTGAGTAAAAAAAGTTAAGTATAATGTTCAGTTAAGTTTGTCAGGACCATGAGTTGATCATTCCTAGACCGCATTTCAGTTAAATCGGCCTATTAGAACTTGATTTTAAGTTTTAAATAGTTTTATTCCAAAATGGCAGCCGTGGCCTGGAAAAAAATCAACTTTGCCAGGACCATGAGTCAATCATTCCTACCAAGTTTCAGTTAAATTGGCCCAGTAGTTTTTCAAAAGTTTGATTATAGTTATTTACCCTATTGGATTTCTGATCGACCCGAAAAATAACACTTTGCCAGGACCATAAGATGATCATTCAAACCAAGTTTCAGTCAAATCGGCCCAGTAGAACTTGACTTAAAGTTTGAAATAGTTTTTCAAAATGGCGGCCATGGAGGCCATATTAGATTTCTGATCTGATCGAAAAATAACAACACTAGGCCAGGGAGATGTCAGTAACATTCCGATGAAATATCAATGAAATCCCTTTGACAGTATTGCAGCTTAAGTTGAAAATGTAAAATGTAACGGACGACGCACGAAGACAGAAAGACAGATAGCAATAGGTCACTTGAGCTACTGCTCAGGTGACCTAAACAAATTACTATAACATTATCACCTAGTAAGCAGCCAAAATACTGTAACATTATCACCTAGTTAGCAGCCAAAATACTATAACATAATCACTGAGTTAGCAGCCAAAATACTGTAACATTATCACCTAGGTAGCAGCCACAAGAGGCCCAATGGGCCTGCATCGCTCACCTGGTATTCAATGGAAATTTTATTAAGTATTTTAAGTTTATAAGTTTATACACAACATGAATGCAATTCTTCCATCATGTCTTAATTAATGTAAGGTACTATAAACGTGGGTCAGGGAGTAGGGGACATGTATATGTACAGTATGAGATATATATATATATGTGTGTTACTTTATTTAAGTAGACTATGCACGTGACTGAAATAGACCAATGAGAAGCAAGTATGAGCATTAGAAAAACATTTGTTAGAGGCAGCAGACAGGAAGTTTTTCATAAAGTTTGACACCTTATAAGTTTTACCTACACTATTGGAATTTTGAAATATACTTTGACCACGATCAAATGATAGAACAGTGATCTTGTGGACCCTTCTTGTGAACATTAGATATATATATATATATATGGAGACTTGAAGCCTTATACTGGGCAACGTATACGTATTTGGGACGTTTTTTTAGACAGAATCTTCATCTTTGTTTACAATTTGTTGAGGAAGACGTAGAGTTGTTATCGTGTGCGCAGGAACACGTAGAGTTGTTATCGTGTGCACAGGAACACGTAGAGTTGTTATCATGTGCGCAGGAAGACGTAGAGTTGTTATCGTGTGCGCAGGAACACGTAGAGTTGTTATCGTGTGCACAGGAACACGTAGAGTTGTTATCGTGTGCGCAGGAACACATAGATTTGTTATCGTGCGCGCATGAACTTGCGTTTTTTCAGTGAACAGCAGTTCTCAGGAGTGTTTTCCTAGTGTGCCTTCTGGGTTTTAGTTTTTTGCTATCCTGGCAAGTGTGTTTTTATATCAGCAGCAGATTAGTATCCGATCGCTACAGCGATCAAAAACATGGCACCAAAGTGTGGTACTTCACACCGTACTCCATATGATCCTACACGGCCAGATAATTGGCTCGTGGCTAAGTTATGGGAAGAACTGAACAAAAAAGGAATACATCCACCTACAAATACAAGACATTCAGAACTTGTTAAAATGTTCAACCAAACGACAAGGCCAGAATACGAAAATAATACGAGTAGTGGTGACATCACGGTAGATGTGCCTAGCTCTAATAGACAGGTTGCAGCATCCCTCAATGCCTCACAGGACAACAACCATGGTGAACTTGTAAACTTGATACATTCGTTGACGGACACTGTAGCCTCATTACAAGCGAACGTGGTTCAGCTTACATCAAAAGTGAATGCTTTGTCATCGCCTGCCATTCCTTTATCAACAACCACAGTATCAGGAAATGGGAATCAGGCAGCTTTACACACCAGGACGGTGTCAGCAGCGACAGAACGTGAGGCGCAGCTTGCGGAATCGACACAGTTCACTATTCAGACGGCTATGACAGTGTTGAACCACGGATCCGTGGTCTGGAGCGACGACAGCTTCAGACCAGCAAATACCATACGTAAGGACAACCTACGGATATGCGGCAGAAAACCAGGACCCAAGAATAAAGAGGTCACTCACTCACCATCGCTGAATATATCCATCTAGAAGAGTAGAAATGGACCTCTACGAAAAGGTCATTATAGATATGGCCACCCTATACAATGGAAAAGGGTTTTACGAATACCACTGCCAATTCGCCAAAAGAGCTGCAGCACGTTAAAGATAACAGAATATTCTTATGGATTGGTCAGTTGGGAACAATACACTATTCTGCAATATTTTTTCCAACCTTAAACCCAGCAGCCGTCAGCGATGCCACAGTACAGCACAAACGACTAACTTCTGCCCCAATATCACCTACACTGCAACCAAGTCAACTGACAACATTAACAGATATGCTGATTCACCCACAGATGTGCATGGAAGATATTGCATGTTCCGCCAGGGCAAAGAAATTTGCAACAACTTCAATGGTGACAGAAAATGTCAGAATGTCTGCTGCAACCATATGCAAATTGTGTAACATGCAAAAAGGACCACCCTAAAGTGTATTGCCCCATGCAAATGACAAAAAACGGACTTTGCCCCCATCAACACCAAGGGACAGGGCATATGTAGTCGTGCGAGGACATCCTAACACTGGCCAGCTCAATACACCCATCAACATTGAACTTTTAGAATCAGAGTTAATTCCACATCCAGATGTTGAATTTAAGCATTATCTTCTTTCTGGCTTAAAAGATGGCTTCATGACAGGAATTAAACAGTTACCTACTAACTTGATTGAATATCGAAATATTTTGTCTGCTAGATCTCAGCAATAAGCTACTACTACATAGGTTAATAAAGAATTGGAGAAAGGATTTCTTCGAGGCCCATATACAGACATCCCTTTCAAACATTACTGCATAAATCCCATAGGAGTAGCCGAGGGAATATACTCAAAGAAGAAACGTCTGATAGTTGATTTGTCTGTACCTCACAATGACGAAGAAAATCCCAGTTTAAATGAATTGATTGATAATAGTATTCATTCCAGTACGTAACTATCGACAAAGCTATACAAGTGATCAAGACTATGGGTCAAGGCAATTGGATGGGAAAATGGACATTTCTGATGCTTTCAAACTTATCCAAAAACACCCCTCCCTGTGGCCTTTTCATGGTATTCGTTGGAACAATTTATACTACTTTTATACTCAACAAGTATTTGGTAGCAGATCAAGTCCAAAAATTTTCGACCAACTGTCAAAAGCCATTTGTTGGACTCTGATAAGATGGAGGCTAGGTTACCAAACGAGAAACGTGTTCGTATCATGTCAATAATAGACTCTTTTCAAACTAGGAAATCGTGAACCAAACGCGAGTTACTGAGTTTATTGGGACATTTCAATTTTGCTGCCAGAATCATGGTACCTGGTCGTTCATTTGTGTCATACCTTATTGCCCTCAGCAGTGAAAGAACGTCATTATCATGTAAAGATAAGTGTAGAGTAGATCTCAGTATGTGGCATGATGGAATGGTGTTTCTTTTATTCTTAGATGATGATATAACATCAGCAGCAGATTTACAGCTTTTTCCAGACTCCACTCAACAATCCTTCACAGCTTACTATAACAACAAATGGTTCCAGGGAAATTTTCCAGACTTAAATAACGAGAAAGTCTCAATGGCATTCTACGAACTGTACCCAATTGTGATGGCATGTGTTTTATGGGGTCATTCTTGGGCTAGGAAACGTGTTTTATTCAATTGTGACAATGCAGCCGCAGTAGACATTATCAGGAAAGGTCGGTCTAAAAATCCTATTATTTTGAAACTCATGAGACGTTAAATTTGGCATGCAGCTAGCCATAATTATGTAGTTCATGCACGACATATTCCGGGTGTGACAAATTGTATCGCTGATGCTTTATCTCGTTGGCAGATGCAGAGATTTCGAAGACTTGCACCTCTGGCAGATCCTACACCGACTGCATGCCTTCACATGGGAGATTTGATGATGTAATGAAGCACAAGGTTGACAATCTGTGGACAGCTTCTCTGGCGAAGAACACTCAGGCTGTGTATTCAGCAGGTCTACAGTGCTTTCTGTCATTTGCTACATTATATGGTGTGATATTTTCTCCCTGCACAAGACTTCGGAGGAACTGTTATTGTACTTTGTAACACATTGTCACGTCCTATTAACAGCTCGGGTCATTTAAGGACGTGCCTCCATGTGTGTAGTGTATGCGTGCTTGCGTGTGTGTATGCAGGAGACAGGGTATGTTACAGTGCTATTTCACTGAAATGCCATGCCAAAGGCACCAAGCACAGCATTGCACCCGGTCACATTATACTGACAACAGGTGAACCAGTTGTTGCCATTCCCCTTACTGCTGAACGTTAAGCAGAGAACAGCAACTACCATTTTAAAGGACTTTGGTATGTCCCAGCCTGGGAACAGAACCCATTGCCTTCCTCACCACCAAGCAAGGCACTAGCAAATAGAAGGTAGTTAGAAATAGAGAGAAATATTAAGATCCCAAATATTGCAATGGGTGCAGCAGATTTATTTTGGTCGCTTTTGTGTCCAATTCTTCAGAGGATTCCTGTCACATCTTACAATACATGCAGTGAGTCACACTTACAGTAGGTTTAAAACACCACGACAAATGTAAAAGATTTCTAGGAGAAAACTTACCAGGAGATAAGAGTACTACAGCAGAGAACAGAGCTATCTCATCATCTGTCAAGTTGAGCTTGTTGAAACGTTCCGCAAAGTCAAACATGGAATCTAACAGAAACCCAGCACTAGTAGTCACCTGTAAATATAATGTCAAAAACAGGTCACTATCATGTGTTCTGTACAGGCTAATAAAGGTCTAACAATACATGGAATCTAACAGAAACCCAGCACTAGTAGTCACCTGTAAATATAATGTCAAAAACAGGTCACTCACATGTGTTCTGTACAGGCTAATAAAGGTCTAACAATACATGGAACCTAACAGAAACCAAGCACTAGTAGTCACCTGTAAATATAATGTCAAAAACAGGTCACTCACATGTGCTTGTACAGGCTAATACAGGTCTAACAATACATGGAACCTAACAGAAACCAAGCACTAGTAGTCACCTGTAAATATAACATCAAAAACAGGTCACTATCATGTGTTCTGTACAAGCAAAATACATGTTTAACAATACAAGTACCTATGATATGCTTTGTGCTAAGAAAGAGACTGTATTACACAATACAGGTAACTAGGGAATGTTATAAGTGGAGCTAATGTATTACAGCACATTGTAGGTTACTATGCATGGATTTCTGTTTGGACAACAACAATTACTGTTGTGGAAAAAGAATGTCAGAAGGGTCTGGAATAATGAGAACAAAAAAGGAATATTGTTAGCAATCCAAAATCCAAAGCCTCCAGACAGATTTTGATATCAAGAAATCGTGATAACAAACTTGAACTGTCAAAAGTCCTGATGGCTGTCTGCAGACAACCATCATTTTCTTCCGATAGGTTTTGAAATGAATTAAACAACCACAAAAAAACAAGGGGAACCAACATATGAAATTTAAGAAACGTCTGTCAAACATTTCTTCAGAAATAGCGATAACAAATGTTGAAGTACTTCATGAGAAATAGTAATAACAAACTCATAATCTCAAAGTTAGCCATATTGTTGTTCTGATTAGCCTCAAAATTTTAGAGGCACAATTAAGGACCAATGGGAATCTATATGAAATTCAAGAAAGAAAAAAATAAGAAATAACAATAGCATTCTTGAACTGTCTAAAACCATTCCTTGTGGCCACTTTGTTCAATCAATCTCAAAATGAACCATGCGTAATTAATTATAAGGACCAAGGAAGGGGAACCTACATACAATTTGAGAAAGATCTCTTCAATTCTTTCTGAGAAATAGTCTGTGATAATTATAGTTTATCACACTGTGTTTTCGGAGTTTGTCGTTTGTCGTGCGAAAACGTGGATAAAATTGAAAGGCCACACGTGAGCGGGGAAAAAAAATGGTTCAAATGATAAACACTGAAAATATTGTGTGATAATATGTTAATCATCTACAGACTACTACTACCTTATATATATCTGTGACAAACGTAGACAAATATAAGATTTGCACGGAGGAAAACAATGAACCTTAAAACTATGTAGGAAACTATAAATATGTCAAAATGACATGAAAGTCCCCCCATCTCCTGTATGATTATTTTAATTATAATAAATCATTGACCAAGCTACAACTGACATATTTCCACCTGTCAATCAAAAAGGTCTAACAATGACCAGGTGTATATGCATACACGCTAATTAGGTAACCATGCCATCACATGGATATAATAAGAAAGCATGTTGTTTTCACAACAATAACTTTCAGAAAAGATTCAATCTTATATACGGATAAATCTTTCACTTTTTTAAAATAAAATACATGATTCAAAGGTAGTTTTCTGATCGTCTGCAAATCTGACTGAATCGGACATTGATAGGCCTATCGAAAAGAAAAGATCGGAATGTATTTGGTTGTTTTGAGCCCGTTAATATTTATTTTTTAAACTCTAACTTTTATTATTACCGGTTCAATTGGCATGTATGTGACATTGTGAGTTTCTGCTGGTAAATAGTATCACGCAACCTTGACTTTTTGCAATACACAAACTTGCAAACTGCGCCACTTCCCCCATGTCGTTTTGACACATTCCTACTGTCAAGATTGGATAGTTCAGCATGATTTTACCCAAGAATAGCATTTTAACCCCAGAGTACTTATTACTATGCAATTCTTTGTTGTTTCCCCATACATGGTATCTTACCTGAAAGCTAGGCCTACTTTACTCGAGTTTATTTATCAGATTCTATCGTATAATATGACTTCAACTTGCATTTTTTTTTTAATTTTTTTTAACTTTTTAACTTTTTTTAGGTTCAAATTGTTTTATTCCCCCAGCATCTTTGGGAGGGATGCCAGGGTTGGGGTGCCCCGGGATCATCCCTCTTACATAAAATAGTCTCAAGCAAAAGGCCTCTTTCTCTTGCAATTTTTCGTAATGGTTAAATAGACAATGCAATCAGGAGAGTTATTCAACCTAATTCAACAGTTTATTGCTGCGAGCTTATTTCAAAACATTTCCGAAAATCCCCAAAAAATCCCCGATTAATCAAATGGTCGCGATGAAAGTCAATCAAGGTCAACCATTTTTTCAAACTTGATAGTCAATCACTTGACCATGTTACGTATAAAATAGTAGGTCTGTAGACATTGTATAACTTTAGAAGAAGTTTTTTGAAGTCATTATCTTGAAATAGCACATATGAAATTTGACCCCTAAATAACTCAAAACTTGACCTGGTCAACTCAAAATGTTTTCTGCCAAAAATGTGCGCATTTGTGTTATCTACATTACACTTGAATATAAAGTGAATCTATCGAACAATTTTCGAAATATCCTTGATTAAAGAAAATTTAATTTTTTAAACATTTGACATTTGTGACCTTGATTGTGACCTTGATAGTTGATCAATGTCGACCATTTTTTCAAACCTGATACCCAAACATCTCAGCATCTTAAATATGAAATATCACCCAGACATCCCAGCATCTTAAATATAAAATATCAAGACTCTAGACCTTGTGGAACTTAAGATTTTTTAAGGTTGGTACCCAATATAGTGCATTTGAACTTTGACCCCTACCGAAAACCGGAAGTTGACATTTTTTGTTGAAAAAGTTTGCTCTTGCTTATCTCTATATGATATCCAAAGATCAACCTCGTGTTTGATATCGTTAGCGAAATATATTGGTATAGGCTGTTAACCAATCAGAGTTTGTGGCGAACATCTTGGAATATTAATTGCTCCAAAAAGTAACATAAGTTTGTAACGGCCCCCAGAGGAATATATGTACCAATTGTGGTTAATATTGCAATGGCAGAAGTGGAGAAGAAGATCGTTGAAGTTTGTAAAAATAGTGTCGGCTTTTCAAAAAAGATCAAAGGCAATAATGGACACGCCATACTTTATATTGATTTGGTTACGACTAACTGTTTTCTTTCGCAGATCACTTTTGTGTGCATAATACTTCTGGTTTAGGACGTCATCTCACATGAGCAGAGCTTCTTTTTTGAGAAAACATGTTCCCAAATGCCGGGAAAATGGAAAATTTGTTCTCAACTTTTTTTTGAATATTCTCATACTAACAACCCGTGATAATTAATTTATCCTGCTAACAGTAGGTGATATAAAGTAGTATTTAGATGATAACAGGAATTGTTTAAGGATGGACAACAGACAAAGGGCACTTTGAACTCTGTATCAACATTTGGGCTCAATGCCCTTTTTTCAATGAGAGTATCTGTCATCCCAAGAGTAAGTGGAGAGCTCCATTAGTTTTGTATAATCAGGCATGGATCAAGCTAACAGTCAATCTTTGACAGACACTCAGCAATACGCACACTGAATTTGGTTAAAACTGAGCCATCTAAATTAGGGCCTTTATTGTGTGGAAACCAATCAGAAGGCTGTAGCCTCATTAATAATAGGTAAGCATGAATTGCATTTGCAAGCATATTTAGTCTGACACTTGCTAATATGAATTTTCACACCAATCTTTAGGGCAATTATTACAGGGAAACAAATTTGAGATGTGACCGATGGATACACCAAAGTGACCGATGGCTATACCAAAGTGACCAATGGATATATCAAAGTGACCAATGGATATACCAAAGTGACCGATGGATACACCAAAGTGACCGATGGATATACCAAAGTGACCGATGGATATACCAAAGTGACCGATGGCTATACCAAAGTGACCAATGGATATATCAAAGTGACAAATGGATACACTAAAATGAATACCTCCAATTTCTCTGAAGCTGAGGAAAGTAAAACAGGTAGAGGTAAAAAAAATTGCTTCAGCTATTTTCTCTTTTTGTTTTCCTGCTGTTACAACAGATATACCTACTGTAGAGGGTTGTCGTTTGAACAGTTTCCCACATGTAAACAACATGGTGTTCGTGTCAGGATCAAACAGGGCAGCTAATCGTACAAGGAGCACCTCAAATGTTGATGCCTACAACCAAAATAACAGTGATTTTCTACAACTATCAGGCTACTTTACATGTGACACCACAAACACATAGGTACTTCAGCTAAACCTTGGGGTGAATAGGATTGCTTGTATAAAGCAACCAATAGGCCCATACCAGCCAGATAATGTAGCTATTAAGGTATTGCTATTCATAGATTATAATTAAAACAAAGAGGCACATGGTTCTCAACAGTCACCTGAGTGAAATTATGAATGAAACAAAAAGTGTTAAGTTGGTCTAACTTCAAATAAATAAGTCCTAGTGGGTCAATTACGTTTCCCCCAAACAATGGGCATAATTTCACAAAAGATAAGTCTAAATCCATCAGCAACATTATCATGTCATTGGAATGCTTTGTTCTAATTATGATAACTTATCAAGCCAGAAGGTGGAGAACCTGGGGGTTCTGGACCTTCTCATGTACAGATACTCCTCCTCATCGTCTGTGGATTGTTTAGCTAACTGTTGATCTAAATCCAAAGGAGACTTCAAAGGAAACGTCAGGTTTTGTACTTAGTGACCACTTATAAATCTCAAATCCTCTAAGACGCCTTAAGAAATAGAACAGACCTAAATTTTCTGATGAAATTTGAATTTTACACCATACTGTCAAGATCAACACATAAATACCTATATTCAGGCTAAACTTGATCAATGTAATTCCATACACAGAATGTGTATTGAAGTTAGAAATGAAACCTCATTGATAATGTTCAACTTACTTTAAGTAATGTAACTTGATCGTCAGGATTCAAAAGGGCGAACCCTGGAATGGCTTTGGCAAAGTCAACAACAGACTTGATAGCTGGTGAAAAGAATTCGGAGAAATCTTCCCAGCAATTGTCATTAGGATCTGTAGCAAAGTTGGCATTTAATGGGCATGCCTGAAAATAGACAAAAAGAATTTCAGAAACAAAATGTATGTTCCAACTGACTTTGAACAGTTGTAATTACTGCCAGCTGCTACATAATGAACTTCAAGAATATTGACTAATCCTTTCACTTTTCACTATATATGTTTTACAACCTCCTGACTCGTGTGACCTGATTTTCCACTTAATCCTTTGTTCTATTTAAATGAAATCAACAGGACTAACAATATGACAGGCAGAGTTTAACAAAAATATGAAACTGACCATTTGAGCAGGACAGTTGACAAACTCGCCCTTTTGTACTGCTGCTTGGCGCATGCTCTTTACACGGTCGAGCGTGAAGGCACATGTCTGTCGGTGTGCGTTGATGACATGCTGTACAAGGTCTAGCGGGTTCTGTAGTACCCCAGTTAGTTGATGGTTTGGAGTCTGTGAATTCATTTTCTGCATCTGTTCGATGATTCGCGCCTTTTCTTTCTTTGGGACCCGGCCAAAGCGCACAGCTGTGGAAAGACAACAAAGTTAGCTGGCCTTGTGTGACCTTGTACACAGTAAAGACTTCCAAGTGCAGCATGTTGTACAAGTGATCTTAGAAGGATCTTTGAGCCCATGCACCATGAAAGAATCTTCATCAGATCTACAAAAGATGATATTTTACCTTCTTTGCTTTTCATTTTCCTTATAGTTACTATTACCCATTCCTATGTTGGAAATCCTAAACCGTGTACATTAACCCTTACTTCCTAATGTCATATGTTTTTGCCACTATGGCAAATGTTATCATAAGAATTGCATCACCATATGCAAAATGCTAAAGATTTGTAGTTCTTAGATAACAAAAAGAGCTGTCAATGAGGGATGAAATCTCATTAGGGCCATTTTCAATAGAGACGAAGGAAAACCTGCATATCGAATTTTAGAAAGATCTTTCAGTTGCATTCTGAGAGACATCGATAAACAAGAGGCCCAGAGGACCTGTATCGCTCACCCAAATATTTGAGCAGTCATAGCAAAATATTCTCATTAAATATTATATTGCACTACAAATATTTCCCTTGCAAACTTTGTCGGCTCCATTTGTTGAAACTACCAGAAGTTGTTTGACATATTTTTCCCTGTGACCTTGTAAATAGGTCAATGTCATTTTCCTTCTTAAACTTTGTTAGCTCTATCCCAAAAAGCCACCAGCCAAATCTTATGAATCCATTCATTTTGGTTCTTCAGAACAAATCCTTTGAAAATATGTTGACCTCTGTGACCTTTAAAGTAGTTTGAGGTCATTTTCATTAGCAAACTTTGGTGAGCTCTATCCCAGGAAGCCACCATCCAAATATTATAATTTTATGCCTTTCGATTATTCTTCAGACGTCATTTGATGTTTTTGACATATTTGACCCTTGTGACCTTGAAAGAAGGTCAAAGTCATTTTCATTCCCAAACTTTGTCGGGCTCTATCTGAGGAAGCCAACAGCCAGATATGAAGGTTCTATACCTTTTAGTTCTTCAGAAGAAGCTGTTTAAAGAGTTTGATATATTTGACCGCTGTGACCTTGAAAGTAGGTCAAGGTCATTTTCTTTCTCAAACTTTGTCGGGCTCCATCCCAGGAAGCCATCAGCCAAATTTGAAGATTCTATACCTTCAGGCAGGTGAGCTTAAAACCTTATCTGTCAAAATCCAAGATTGCCACCTTCTGGCAATTTTGTTTATCTGATCAGTTTTAAAAGCTAATATGCACAACTAGAGACCAATTATTATGACCTTACCTATGCAATTTGAGATGAATCCCTCTTGTACTTTATAAGAAATAGCAATGACAAGAATTGTTTAGTACAGATGATGGAAGGACGGACAGCAGACCAAGGAAGGTAGGGTAATTTGAATAGCCCAACCCCTCCTGATGGGGGCTTAAAAAAATTAACCTATCACTGTACAATACAAGTTAGTGAAGTCTTGCATATTTCTTCTGATCTGTGAGTCTCAAAACTGAACATGCACAACTACGGACCAGGGAAACCTACACATGAAATTTAAGAAATTTAAGAAACAAATTAATGATGAATAGCAGTAACAATTTTGAACAATCAAAATTCAAAATGATGGCTTTCTTTTTCCAACCAGTCTCAAAATGAAACAGGCACAACTGCAGACCAATGGGACCTTACATATTAAGGCAGACAAGATCTGTCAGGTTGAGAAATAGTGAAAACACACCGCATTAAACATGGGTGTTAAAACTATGAAACAATAACATGGGACATGTCCCAACCATTACAACTAGAGGCATCACGATTCACCGCGATACACTTGTACCGCAATTATTTATGTTCGATTCGATTCACAATATATTTTTCCGGATTTTTGATACGTCACAATCTGAATATTAGTGTATGCCGCTTCAACCGAAATCCAGGTGATGAGTGAGGTAAACGTATCTACAGTGGTTATACTAACTCATGCCGCCATGGCATCAGACATATGTATCCAGGTGGTGAGTGAGGTAAACGTATCTACAGTGGTTAAACTAACTAATGCCGCCCTGGCATCAGACATATGTATCCAGGTGAATGCCGCTTCAACCGAAATCCAGGTGATGAGTGAGGTAAACGTATCTCCAGTGGTTATACTAACTCATGCCGCCATGGCATCAGACATATGTATCCAGGTGAATGCCGCTTCAACCGAAATCCAGGTGATGAGTGAGGTAAACGTATCTCCAGTGGTTATACTAACTCATGCCGCCATGGCATCAGACATATGTATCCAGGTGATGAGTGAGGTAAAGGTATCAACAGTGATTATACTAACTCATGCCGCCCTGGCATCAGACATATGTATCCAGGTGATGAGTGAGGTAAACGTATCTACAGTGGTTATACTAACTCATGCCGCCCTGGCATCAGACATATGTATCCAGGTGATGAGTGAGGTAAACGTATCTACAGTGGTTATACTAACTCATGCCGCCCTGGCATCAGACATATGTATCCAGGTGATGAGTGAGGTAAACGTATCTACAGTGGTTATACTAACTCATGCCGCCCTGGCATCAGACATATGTATCCAGGTGATGAGTGAGGTAAACGTATCTACAGTGGTTATACTAACTCATGCCGCCCTGGCATCAGACATATGTATCCAGGTGATGAGTGAGGTAAACGTATCTACAGTGGTTATACTAACTCATGCCGCCCTGGCATCAGACATATGTATCCAGGTGATGAGTGAGGTAAACGTATCTACAGTGGTTATACTAACTCATGCCGCCCTGGCATCAGACATATGTATCCAGGTGATGAGTGAGGTAAACGTATCTACAGTGGTTATACTAACTCATGCCGCCCTGGCATCAGACATATGTATCCAGGTGATGAGTGAGGTAAACGTATCTACAGTGGTTATACTAACTCATGCCGCCCTGGCATCAGACATATGTATCCAGGTGATGAGTGAGGTAAACGTATCTACAGTGGTTATACTAACTCATGCCGCCCTGGCATCAGACATATGTATCCAGGTGATGAGTGAGGTAAACGTATCTACAGTGGTTATACTAACTCATGCCGCCCTGGCATCAGACATATGTATCCAGGTGATGAGTGAGGTAAACGTATCTACAGTGGTTATACTAACTCATGCCGCCCTGGCATCAGACATATGTATCCAGGTGATGAGTGAGGTAAACGTATCTACAGTGGTTATACTAACTCATGCCGCCCTGGCATCAGACATATGTATCCAGGTGATGAGTGAGGTAAACGTATCTACAGTGGTTATACTAACTCATGCCGCCCTGGCATCAGACATATGTATCCAGGTGATGAGTGAGGTAAACGTATCTACAGTGGTTATACTAACTCATGCCGCCCTGGCATCAGACATATGTATCCAGGTGATGAGTGAGGTAAACGTATCTACAGTGGTTATACTAACTCATGCCGCCCTGGCATCAGACATATGTATCCAGGTGATGAGTGAGGTAAACGTATCTACAGTGGTTATACTAACTCATGCCGCCCTGGCATCAGACATATGTATCCAGGTGATGAGTGAGGTAAACGTATCTACAGTGGTTATACTAACTCATGCCGCCCTGGCATCAGACATATGTATCCAGGTGATGATTGAGGTAAACATATCTACAGTGGTTATACTAACTCATGCTTTGATAACATAATACTCAGATATGTTGTTTACTTACGATGACATCTCCTTTGTTATCATCATAAATACATTTATTATAAAGAATATATTCTAAACAAACATGATTGTGTTCAAAGTACAGGGGCTATTCCTTGTAGAATATGTTTTAAGAGGTGACAAGCACAAACATTTCGCTGATTACAACTCCCAAATGACCCCAAAAAAATGGTAGCAGTAACAAACTTTGGCCCTGAAATAAAAGACCAAGATGGCCACCTGGCAGCAATTTTAAATATCTTCAAATACATAAACAAAACAATTTTGCTCAACTTGGACCCAAGGGTACCTGAGCGTACAATTTTGAGGTTCAGCAAAAGGCTGAGTACTGAACCTCCCGTTTATCCATGAGGATACAATCAATCATCAATCTCTCCACTTTTCTAAGGATTACATTAATACTGTCATTCTCATGTGGAAGTGTATCACTAATCTATAATATCTTGGAACAAAAGATTTCTTGCACAGTGATGATTTGGAGTAGTCGCAGATCATTGTGATGCAACATTGTCTACATACCATCTCGGGACATCCCAACAGCAATACACTTTTTTAATCTGAAAACAAAATCAGAGAAGAGTACTGTTCTGAAAACTTAAATGGCATCAATCAGATATAGACATTCATAAATACATTATTTAAACATAATTCTTTCTCCTCTAACTTTTTATCACTAGCAGAAGGCAAAATAAGAGCCCCAGAGGCCGGCTGTCATATAAGACCTCAATCTTATTTTACTTAAAATGTAGAAAATCATGAGAGTTTATCAAAAGAGAGAGAAATGTGGGTGGCCCATGGGCCTGAACTGTCACCAGAGTTGTTACACAGTTGATATTTGTTTGTGTGATTTCACAAACAATACATATAATAAAATATTCTATAAACAGAAACTACAGCAAAATGTTATCCCTTCACCATTGGGAATAGGAGATCCTGGAACTCACTGGTTTGTTAACGCACCCATTAGGACTTTCTATCATTGAAGTGAATTTGATTCTAGCCTATCTGGGTCCAAATTAAAACAGTTCCACAGATTGAGCCAATTTTACCACTACAGGTCCATCCATCCCTCAGGCCCTGGGGGCGAGTCAAGGCTTTGATTTTTATACTTACATGGGAATAATTCCAACCAAGCTTGAAGTATTTTCCATCAAAAAATAAATAAGATGTATATAAACTATAGTTAACCTCAACAGCCCCCACCCCCCACCCCCAGGGGGGAACGGTTACTTAAGGGTTATGGATTTCACAATTTATCAAGCACCTTAGGAGTTTTCATCCATGAAAAGCAGATGGTTGTTAAAATTGAAGCCAATTTGACCCAGTTTGGCCCAATGGGGATGAGACAGATATAATTCACCTTTTTGGTTTGTCTTTGACCATGGAAGCTTAAGCTTCCCGTGAAATTTAGGTTTTTCTCTTTAATTATTGTTTATGAACACACGACAGCAAATAAAGGACTATCCCATTTGATCACATGAGATTTTGTCTAAGGTGATCTAAACAACATTCTTTTTTTTTATATAAATTTACATTTCTCTCAAAAATCAGCTTTTAATATTTTTGTTAATGACACATTAAGGAAAACAGTGTTTGAACAACAGGCCATACATTGTAGATTTAAACAACAGGCCATACATTGTAGATTTAAACAACAGGCCATACACTGCAGATTTAAACAACAGGCCATACATTGTAGATTTAAACAACAGGCCATACATTGCAGATTTAAACAACAGGCCATACATTGTAGATTTGAACAACATGGCTAACACTTCACAATTAGATTGATAAAAATTCTCAATTTGGAGGTTTGACTTAGTGTCATATGAAGCTTCCCGTCACCGATACAAGTGCTGAGTCAGCTCATTATCTAGGTACAGAAAGTCAGATGCTAGTTCAAACAGGGATAAAGTCACCAACATCTTTTATATCAGCATTTAAAATATTGTCACATAAACTACAATAAGCAGAATATTATAAATTCCTTGAAAAGTGATGCTGTAATGATCAAGTAAAGGGAGGTTAGGCCAGGGATTGCTGACGAATAAATTGACCTACTTAAGAGCTAAATTTCATATGGTAATGAGTCTCCCACGCCTTCCTGTTATTTACTGTGATAGCACAAGTACAGGGACAACAAAATCAATGGACGCTAGTGGGGGCGACACCACACTCTATTTTCAGCTTCCAACACAGTGAATTGTCGACGTCATCAACCATTTAATGGAGCCAAATATAACTATGTTAGCAAGCAGCATACCTCCAGGGTAGCATTACATATATTTTAGGAGCAAATTTCTTTTTAAAGGCAACAGAAAAGACATTTATATCAACGTTATTCTGGATTAGTTTCACACACCTTTCCAATCATTACATCAACAGAAACATGCAAAAAGATTATATTTTTGTACCAAACACAGCATAGGATTCTAATCTAGTGAACTTGCAAAGGTGGGCTTCTAGATTGCACTTTAATTTTGTGGGGCTAGAAACATATTTTATCTTCAGTATGACAGTCATGGAATCTCTTAATCTATCCCTAACAGCTAGATTCAACAACAGTCTAGATATCTCAAATACAATCCTTCACAGCTAGATCCAACAACAGTCTAGATATCTCAAATAAAATCCCTCACAGCTAGATCCAACAACAGTCTAGATATCTCAAATAAAATTACTCGCAGTTAGATCCAACAGCAGTCTAGATATCTCAAATACAATCTCTCACAGCTAGATACAACAACGGACTAGATATCTCAAATACAATCCCTTACAGCAAGATCCAACAACGGACTAGATCTCTCAAATACAGTCCCTCACAGCTATTTCCAACAACAGTCTAGATATCTCAACTACAATCCCTCACAGTTCGATCCAACAACAGTCTAGATATCTCATATACAATCCTTCACAGCTAGATCCAACAACGGACTGGATATCTCAAATACAATCCCTCACAGTTAGATCCAACAACAGTCTAGATGTCTCAAATAAAATTACTCACAGCTAGATCCAACAGCAGTCTAGATATCTCAAATACAATCCATCACAGCTAGATCCAACAACGGACTGGATATCTCAAATACAATCCCTCACAGTTAGATCCAACAACAGTCTAGATGTCTCAAATACAGTCCCTCACAGTTAGATCCAACAACAGTCTAGATATATCAAATAAAATTACTCACAGCTAGATCCAACAAAAGTCTAGATATCTCAAATACAATCCATCACAGCTAGATCCAACAACGGACTGGATATCTCAAATACAATCCCTCACAGCTAGATCCAACAACGGACTAGATATCTCAAATACAGTCCCTCTCAGCTAGATCCAACAACAGTCTAGATATCTCAGATACAGTCCCTCACAGTTAGATCCAACAACAGTCTAGATATATCAAATAAAATTACTCACAGCTAGATCCAACAGCAGTCTAGATATCTCAAATACAATCTCTCACAGCTAGATCCAACCACGGACTAGATATCTCGAATACAATCCCTTACAGCTAGATCCAACACCAGTCTAGATATCTCAAATACAATCTCTCACAGCTAGATCCAACATCGGACTAGATATCTCAAATACAATCCCTTACAGCTAGATCCAACACCAGTCTAGATATCTCAAATACAATCTCTCACAGCTAGATCCAACCACGGACTAGATATCTCGAATACAATCCCTTACAGCTAGATCCAACACCAGTCTAGATATCTCAAATACAGTCCCTCACAGCTATTTCCAACAACAGTCTAGATATCTCAAATACAGTTCCTCACAGGTAGATCCAACAACGGACTAGATATCTCAAATAAAATTACTCACAGTTAGATCCAACAGCAGTCTAGATATCTCAAATAAAATTACTCACAGCTAGATCCAACAACAGTCTAGATATCTCAAATACAGTCCCTCACAGCTATTTCCAACAACAGTCTAGATATCTCAAATACAATCCTTCACAGCTAGATCCAACACCTGTATTGATATCTCAAATACAGTCCCTCACAGCTATTTCCAACAACAGTCTAGATATCTCAAATACAGTTCCTCACAGGGAGATCCAACAACGGACTAGATCTCTCAAATAAAATTACTCACAGTTAGATCCAACAGCAGTCTAGATATCTCAAATACAGTACCTCACAGCTATTTCCAACAACGGACTAGATATCTCAAATACAGTCCCTCACAGCTATTTCCAACAACGGACTATATATCTCAAATACAATCCCTCACAGCTAGATCCAACAACGGACTAGATATCTCAAATACAGTCCCTCACAGCTATTTCCAACAACGGACTAGATATCCCAAATACAGTTCCTCACAGCTAGATCCAACAACGGACTAGATACCTCAAATACAGTCCCTCACAGCTATTTCCAACAACGGACTATATATCTCAAATACAATCCCTCACAGCTAGATCCAACGGGAGTCTAGATATCTCAAATACAATCCTTCACAGCTGGATCCAACAACGGACTAGATATCTCAAATACAGTCCCTCACAGCCAGATCCAACAACAGTCTAGATATCTCAAATACAGTTCCTCACAGTTAGATCCAACAACAGTCTAGATATCTCAAATAAAATTACTCACAGCTAGATCCAACAACAGTCTAGATATCTCAAATACAATCCCTCCCAGCTAGATCCAACAACTGTATAGATTTTCCTATGAACATTGATGTTATTTTGGTGAACATTTCCATACTAACCTTAATGCAACATGTCATGTCACATGCTGTGTGAGTGTTTTAACTTTGACAAAGGAGCTTCAAAACAAATGTCATAACCCTACACACAATTGCATGTTCTTAAGAAGTAGTTGTACAGAAAAGATGACAGACAATTGACAAATAAATGGATGCTCCAAATACTGTAATACATTAGGTAAAAAAAAGCTAAGATTGCTGCATAAACAAGAGGCCCATGGGCTTTAACGGTCATCTGATAAATTTATACAGAGAGTTGATTTTGTTTTTAACATGAACAGAAATATTATTCAAAGAGACAAAAAACAATAAAACCACCTTATTCAATATCAAGCATACAGATTTCAGACTAAAAAGTATTTGAAACTAACACCTCTGATTCTAAATGAAGAAATTTTAGCACACTGACTCCTTTGAGCCCCACCCTACAGCCCTTGGGGGTAGGGCTGGCTCAAAATTTCCAAAGTATCAAACTGTCAACTCAAGGTTATAATTCCAATCAAGTTATTAACATGTAATATTCAAAGTATCATTTGCCATTATAAACCATAATAAATTTTGCCCCCCCCCCCCTCCCCCTTCCCCAAGGGGGAAAAATGAGCCCCTAGGGTCATAAACCTTAAGACCCTTCCATCTATGAAGAGTATTTGATTCTACCATATCTGGGTCTTGAGAAGAAGATTTTTGAAATTTCAGTAAATTCGACCCTTTTTTGCCCCACCCATCAGCCCCTGGGGGTCAGTCAGGGCTCAAAGGTGCATACTATCAAACTGCTACCTAATACTGATAATGCTAACCCAAATTGAATTACTTCCAATGGAAATTAAACAAATGTTGGTCCAAAATGTGATTTCCCTATATAAACTATAGTAAAGTTTACCCCCTCCCCAGGGGGAAACATGAGACCCCAGGGTCATGAAATTCACAATTTCGGTAAAGCACCTTAAGACCCTTCCATCTATGAAGAGCATTTGATTCTACCATATATGGGTCATGAGAAGAAGATTTTTGAAATTTTAGTCAATTTGACCCTTTTTGGCCCTGCGCTTCAGGCCCCTGGGGGCTTGGGACTAAACCGGCCACTTTTTTAGTTGACCTTTGTCCTTGGAAGGTCCCTGCAAAATTTCATTGAAATTGGTTCAGGGGTTTTGGGGAAGAAGATTTTTGAAATTTTAGTCAATTTGACCCTTTTTGGCCCCGCCCCTCAGGCCCCTGGGGTCTTGGGACTATAAACCGGCCATTATTTTTGTTGACCTTTGTCCATGGAAGGTCCCTGCAAAATTTCATTGAAATTGGTTCAGGGGTTTTGGAGAAGAAGTCGAAAATGTAAATTGTTTACGGACACAAGACGGAGGACGACGGACAAAAGGCGATCGCAATAGGTCACTTGAGACTTTGTCTCAGGTGACCTAAAAACTATTTCCTGTCAATTTAAGTGTGTAGACTATGAAGTTCCAACAGAGTAGAAAAACCTGACCCTTGAAAATATAGTTATTACTTACCGACAGTATTGGCATCGGTTCCGATTAACTCGCATTATATTACATTGCTGATTCTTTAGACAAGGACGGTACTGTATCTTTTGTTGAATGCTGCGTCGGAAAAATCCCTGAAAAACATTAAAGTTTGCTTAATCCATCTATAGTGTCATTATCATCAAACATAAAGGCTGTAGGCTTTAACGGTCTCACAGGTGTGTATCTGTAGCGCTAGCTTTGACCAAGAACAAGTGGGCTGTAATCTTGTAAGTTTAATATTTTGTATGGCAATAAGCAATTGGCAATAAGTAACTGGTAACTAGCATGTTGATGAGGGTATGTCATAGTCAATGTCAATGTAGCAGCTGGCTGTCAGGGGGAAGGGGAATTATTTGGCCTCTGATGTATAACAAAATCACCTATATTATATGCAATTACTTGACAATGATGTATTTTATTATTTTAAAACTGTTAAAACAGTGATGCATCCTTTAACTAACATATAATTTCAGTTGCACTAAAGCTTCACTCTGACTAATTAGTCTGAAGCATCAACCATTCAATGATATTGAAACCTGCCATTCAAGCACATCAAAGCTTTGAATTGTTTAAAAGCAATGTCAAAATGCGGCACATCAGACAAATTTAAGATGCCACCCATAACATGAGAAATAACAGTTTCTAACCTACCAACCCTACCCAATTTGTTTTGCCTTTTATGACTGACACAAAGGATTTCAAATTATACTCAAAATTGATGATCAGTTTGAAGAAGTAATATTTGCAATGTTTGTAGGATTGTTTCTTAACCCCTTTTTTGGGACAATTCCCAGTAAGATTACAACAGTTAAGCACAGATTGTGGGGGTGGACTGGGAGAAGGAATAGATCTGGAGCAGAGAGGGAGCATTGTCGGGGTGGACTGGGAGAAGGAGTAGATCTGGGGCAGAGAGGTAGCATTGTCGGGGCGGACTGGGAGAAGGAATAGATCTGGGGTAGAGAGGTAGCATTGTCGGGGTGGACTGGAAGAAGGAGTAGATCTGGAGCAGAGAGGTAGCATTGTCGGGGTGGATTGGGAGAAGGAATATATCTGTGGCAGAGAGGTAACATTGTGGGGTTGGACTGGGAGAAGGAATAGATTTGTGGCAGAGAGGTAGCATTGTGGGGTTGGACTGGGAGATGGAATAGATCTGGAGTAGAGAGGTAGCATTGTCGGGGTGGACTGGGAGATGGAATAGATCTGTGGCAGAGAGGTAGCATTGTGGGGTTGGACAGGGGGAAGGAATAGATTTGTGGCAGAGAGTTAGCATTGTCGGGGTGGACTGGGAGAAGGAATAGATCTGGAGCAGAGAGGTAGCATTGTCGGGGTGGACTGGGAGATGGAATAGATCTGTGGCAAAGAGGTAGCATTGTGGGGTTGGACTGGGAGAAGGAATAGATTTGTGGCAGAAAGGTAGCATTGTGGGGTTGGACTGGGAGATGGAATAGATCTGGAGCAGAGAGGTAGCATTGTCGGGGTGGACTGGGGGAAGGAATAGATCTGGAGCAGAGAGGAAGCATTGTTGGGGTGGACTGGGATAAGGAGTAGATCTGGAGCAGAGAGGTAGCATTGTCGGGTTGGACTGGGAGATGGAATAGATCTTGAGCAGAGAGGTAGCATTGTCGGGGCGGACTGGGAGAAGGAATAGATCTGGAGCATAGAGGTAGCATTGTCGGGATGAGAGGTAGCATTGTCGGGGTGGACTGGGGGAAGGAATAGATCTGGAGCAGAGAGGTAGCCTTGTCGGGGTGGACTGGGAGAAGGAGTAGATCTGGAGCAGAGAGGTAGCATTGGCGGGGTGGACTGGGAGAAGGAATAGATCTGGAGCAGACAGGTAGCTTTGTGGGGGTGGACTGGGAGAAGGAATAGATCTGAGGCAGAGAGGTAGCATTGTCGGGGTGGACTGGGAGAAGGAATAGATCTGAGGCAGAGAGGTAGCATTGTCGGGGTGGACTGGGAGAAAGAATAGATCTGGAGCAGAGAGGTAGCATTGTGGGGGTGGACTGGGAGAAGGAATAGATCTGGAGCAGAGAGGAAGCATTGTTGGGGTGGACTGGGATAAGGAGTAGATCTGGAGCAGAGAGGTAGCATTGTTGGGGTGGACTGGGAGAAGGAATAGATCTGTGGCAGAGAGGTAGCATTGTGGGGGTGGACTGGGAGAAAGAATAGATCTGGCGCAGAGAGGTAGCATTGTGGGGGTGGACTGGGAGAAGGAATAGATCTGGAGCAGACAGGTAGCATTGTCGGGGGGGACTGAGAGAAGGAATAGATCTGGAGCAGAGAGGTAGTATTGTCGGGGTGGACTGGGAGAAGGAATAGGTCTGGAGCAGAGAGGTAGCATTGTCGGTTGGACTGGGAGAAGGAATAGAAGATCTGGAGTAGAGAGGTAGCATTGTCGGGGTGGACTGAGAGAAGGAATAGATCTGGAGCATAGAGGTAGCATTGTCGGGGTGGACTGGTAGAAGGAATAGATCTGAGGCAGAGAGGGAGCATTGTCGGGGTGGACTGGGAGAAAGAATAGATCTGGCGCAGAGAGGTAGCATTGTGGGGGTGGACTGGGAGAAGGAATAGATCTGTGGCAGAGAGGGAGCATTGTGGGGGGGGACTGGGAGAAGGAATAGATCTGGGGCAGAGAGATAGCATTGTCGGGGTGGACTGGGAGGAGGAATAGATCTGGAGCAGAGAGGTAGCAGTGTCGGGGTGGACTGGGAGAAGGAATAGGTCTGGAGCAGAGAGGTAGCATTGTCGGTTGGACTGGGAGAAGGAATAGAAGATCTGGAGTAGAGAGGTAGCATTGTCGGGGTGGACTGAGAGAAGGAATTGATCTGGAGCATAGAGGTAGCATTGTCGGGGTGGACTGGTAGAAGGAATAGATCTGAGGCAGAGAGGTAACTGTCGGGGTGGACTGGGAGAAGGAATAGGTCTGGAGCAGAGAGGTAGCATTGTCGGTTGGACTGGGAGAAGGAATAGATCTGTGGCAGAGAGGTAGCATTGTGGGGGTGGACTGGGAGAAAGAATAGATCTGGGGCAGAGAGGTAGCATTGTCGGGGTGGGCTGGGAGAAGGAATAGATCTGGAGCAGAGGAGTAGATCTGGAGCAGAGAGGTAGCATTGGCGGGGTGGACTGGGAGAAGGAATAGATCTGGAGCAGACAGGTAGCATTGTCGGGGTGGACTGAGAGAAGGAATAGATCTGGAGCATAGAGGTAGCATTGTCGGGATGGACTGGGAGAAGGAATAGATCTGGCGCAGAGAGGTAGCATTGTCGGGGCGGACTGGGAGAAGGAATAGATCTGGAGCAGACAGGTAGCATTGTCGGGGTGGACTGAGAGAAGGAATTGATCTGGAGCATAGAGGTAGCATTGTCGGGATGGAGGTAGCATTGTCGGGGTGGACTGGGAGAAGGAATAGATCTAGAGCAGAGAGGTAGCATTGTCGGGTTGGACTGGGAGAAGGAATAGATCTGGAGCAGAGAGGCAGCATTGTCGGGGTGGACTGGGAGAAGGAATAGATCTGGAGCAGAGAGGTAGGAGATTTGATGGCCTTATTGACTGTGGTGGTGGTGCGGCAGTGCTTTAGTGTATAGGGCTCTATATAACATTCCAGTGTGACCCAGTACATTCCCTACAATCAATAGTTTTCAACTGGGTCACTGACCGAGAAATTCAGCAACAAAACAAACTACTAACCTAAAACCATGGAAACTATTGTGTTTTCATTGCTGTCATACTCTATTGGTAACCACACTGAGGCTCCCTGGTAATTTGACATCAACTATAGAGCAAACAACAGGCCCAGAGGGCTGTATTGCCCACCTGGATATGCAATCATAGCAAAATATTCTCATTAAACCTAGTACTGTAAATATTTTGCAATATCAGGCTCCATCATTCTGTCTGTAAGAATACTTGACAGTAAATCTGGTGGAGATCTGTAGGTATGTGTATATAGTTATAACAGTTGGGACCTCCATTATTACCTGATACAGGGGTGTAGAAAACATGTTAAAAGCACTTGCCCTAGGCTAGTTTGAAGTAGACCTTAGAATTTACTTGCCAAAACCATTTCTGCTTGCCCTATAAAATGTTATACAGGAAAAAAAGACTATAAATAGTTCTTTTCTAAATACAGTAATTTAGAATTTTCTTGATATCACTTTATTTCTCAGAGAAAAACATGATATTAAGGATGTACTCTTCTGAGGTTTCAGTCACGTTCAAGTCTCGTTTTGATCTGGTGTAACAGGTTTTTGTAATATTTAACAAATTATGATAGGTTTAATAGCAAACACACATCTGAAAAACATGTCAAAAAACTAGATGTCTGTTGTGTGTAGATTTTTTTTACAAGAATTTGAAAAAAATGACCAATTTGGCGGCCATTTTGAAAAAGTGTATTTATGTGAATTTCTTGTGCTTCACAAAGGGCAAAATATAACCTTTTTTGACATTTTTAAATGTAGCAGGTTCAATTTTGCTGTACAATATTATAATGTTCAATATGATTAAAATAATATGCAAAAAAAGTGGAAAGTTATATATTATTGGTATTTTTTTTACATATTAGGGTAACTGAAGCACTTTTGATTTTTGACCCCGAAAAAGGTGAAAAATAACACAAATAATAATGGGACTAAAAAAGAAGCACACCGACCACCCATTTTTGTGTTTGTTTTAGAAAGAGAAATACATTTCTTTTGATTTATTGAATACCAAAAAAACTTTAATACAGGATTTTTTTATATCAAGCGTTTAATCTGCATAAAATGGTGAAAAAAAGAACATTTTTCATCAAAAAATAAGGGGTAGGAGTAACTAAAATCGCATTTCTGAGTAAAATGAATAAGATTAAGAAATTTTACTTCTATAGTTTAAAAGAAAATAATGTTTTTATCAATTCTACAAACATTCATACATATATGATAACACACTTGGAAGAAATTGTATGAATTTGTTCTGCAAATGGTCAAAACCCGAAAATTCACCTAAAATCACCTATTGTGTTAAATTGGTATCTTTGACCGATTAATAGCACAAAAATGAACACACGGACATGTATATTTTTTTGCATTTTCTACTATGCCATTATCTCCTT